AGCAGTGCCCGGCACACAGTAGGTACTCAATAGCTATTTGCTCAATTAATAAAAATGACAAGGCTCATATTGGTACCTGAGTCACCTTCCTCCAGAGGCTCTTCCCACTGTGCCATATTAGGGGCATAGAACCCAGGGCCATGCGCAGGGTTGGAGCTGGGGGCGTAGGGGATGGGGCCAGGGCAGAGTTACTGACCTTGACGGTGCAGATGAGCACTCGGCCGGGTGCCACCATGTTGAGGAACAGCACCATGGCCTCATCCTCATGAGGTGAGTATGTGTCAAACACACGCTTTGCCATCACATGGCCCTGGCAGGGGACACACCAGTCGTGAGTTAGTGTCACCAGCTAGGAGGGCTCAGCTTCAGCCCTCCAGGTCCCCCACCCCTAGAACCTCACCGTGGCCTGGTTAAGGACGATGACATGGATGCCACGGCCCTGCTCCCGGGCCTCATCCTCCAGCACCTAAAGGGTGGCAGAGACAAAGTCCAACTCTTCACTCTGGCATTCAAGAGCTCTCTGTCTTATTGGCACTTAAAAAAAAACCAAACAGCTGCATGAAATGAAACCCCTCCTGTCTATCTATGCCTCTGTTCACTTCCAACCCAGCTTGACGGCCACCTACCTCTTCCAGGAAGCTTCCATAGCATCCCCATCCAAAGAGATCACATCTTTCTACAACAGTCCTTTCGACAGCTTTCATGGCTTCTTAGAGCCCTGGACCATCTCTGCCTCATGCTGCCAATATCATAATCTACCAGACTGAGCCCCTGAAAGCAGAGCCAGGTCTGATTACCTCCAGGTCCCCGGTGCTTGGAACAAGGCTAAGGCTATAGAAGGGGCCAGGAAGTAGTTGTGAAATCAATCAATCAATTAATTAACTGCCTACTAATGACCACTTCTGATAAAATCCCATTACATATATTACATTTCACATATTTTTCATTTAATCCTGACAAGTAGATATCATTAGTTCCATGTTACAGATGAGGAATGGTGGCCTCCAAAGTCACACAGGTAGAGACTGGCAGAGGTGCAGTTCCCATTCAGGCAGTGGACCCCAGAGACAGTGGACCACACCATGAGTAGAATAAAGTGACTGTACACCAAACGCCAGCCCACTCACCGTAGTGCCATCCACTGCCACATATACTTTGCTGCGGCTTGAGTATACCTCCACATCCAGGACCCTTCGGGGACCACTGCCTCTGTGCCGTGGGGGCTCCAATCGGCCCAGGGCCTCATCTGTGGGGGTATGACAGGTCATGGAGATAGTCTCTTCAGCAGTCTCAACCCTTGGGATCTGCCTGCTATTTCAACCATGAGATCCCAGGGAAACCCCCTGACACACACACCAATCCCATCCTCAGCCTGGCCCCACCATAGTCTTGCTCCGGCTCTGGGTCTTCATTGGCCTCGCTGATTGCTCGGCGAGTGTCCAGAATCAACTTGATGTTGACAATGACGGTCACCAATAGGAAAAGCACAGCCCCTGTCTGAGAGAAGGGGTAGGGTTGACTGAAGAGGGATACTCCCTCCAGATCACTGAGGGTCTTCCTGAAAAGAGGGCCCTGGCTGCAGTGATGACACAGGGAGAACCTGGGGCCTCTCTCCTCCTTCTGTCTGCTCAGTTTTACTCCCCCAACCAGCATCCAGTTTCATGACCACCTCCTCAATGGATGCCCCCCTGACCCTTCCCCCTTTATCAGGGCCCTCCCTACCCAGTGCTCCTGTATTCTTCCATTTGAGGCCTTGATTTCCTTGGTCCCCTCCACAATTAATTACTAGAGGTGGAGTCAGTCTCACAGAACCAAGCAGGGATCAGAAGACCTGGGTCCTAGCCCTAACTGCCTGACTCCTTGGCAAAGCCTTCTTGATCAGACTTCAGGTTTCTGTCATAAGCCTAAGAGGTTGTACTTGGGTTCTGATTCCAGAACTTTGGGCAGAAACCACTGCCTAGCAGGGACATGACACAAAGAGGTTTCCTCTCTAGGAATCTGCTATCCCTTTCCAGGGTGTGGACAACCAAGATGGGTCCCAGTGCCCAACATCTATCTAGGCAGGGGTAAAGCTGCAAAGGCGCTCCTAGGAGATTTGGGACATCGCTATACCTGACAGAATCTCCGCAGGGCCCGCTGGTTGGTCAGTTTATACTTCCAGGTAAGATACCAGCTCCGTTTCTTCCGAGCCCCAAAGGGCTTCAGGGGGCTGGGCTTCCAGTCGTCCATGCTGGATTGGGGGGGTCACCACTGTCCTGGCCAACCCATGCTTTCAGGAAACTGAGGAGACCAGAGAACACATGGGGTAAGGTGTTCCTCCCAAAGTCGGATGCCTTCTGGGAGGACCTTCCAATAACTCTTCCATGCAGGCATCCATGTTGTTGTGTGACCTGGGTGAAGTGGCTCAACTTCTCTGGGAAGGAAACCTTCAAAGGGGTCAGATCACCTGGAAACTCCCCTGGGAAGGAGAACTGACAGGGCTATCTAGGGACCCAGAGGGGGAGGCCAAATAATCGGCTTTCACGGCCCCTCAGCCACAGAAAGGTCCAAGCCCCAGGCCGTCCCAGTCCTGGGCTGGGCTAAGGGCAGCGGCTCCCCCCTGCCCCCCATTCTCCACCCCCTTCCGCCCTCGCCTCCTCCTATCTGACCCAGCTCTTCTCCTCCCAGGGCTCTGGACCGCTGGAGTCTTAGGGAGACCTGTCCCGGCATCGCCACCCATCCCGGACCCCTGCACAGAGGCACTCACGGCTCACGGGGCCCGGGCCCCGCTCGGGCCCCTCTGGGGCCCGCACTGCTCAGCCCGGCGCGCCGAGGCCTCCGCCTCCTCCATGCCGCTCGCTGCCCCGCCCCGGCCGGCCCGCCTCCCCGCTTCCGCCGCCGCCGCCGCCGCCGCCGCCACGGGGTGAGAGGGCGGCGGGCGGTGCTTAAGGCGGTGGCGGGGGCCCGGGGCGGGGAAGCTGTAGCCGGTGATACCGCGAGTCTTCAGCCCCTCTGCAGCTTCGCAGCAAGCGGGAGGGGTGACTGCTGGTGGAGAGCCGCTCCCTCGCCTTCAGCACTGCGGGGTGGTAAACCCGATTGATTCGGAATCCTAGAGCCTTGAACTAGACCACACGGCACCCCAGGTTCAGAGGGGCTACGAACACAGATACCCCTCCCCTTGCTTGGGCAAGGCTACACTCAGGTCTAGGGCATGCGTGCCACCTCTGGAGGCTAAGGGGAATGAAAAACCTGGTTTCTACCACTCACCTAGACCTTGTTACTTCATGTCTAGGTTCCCTTCTGTGTGAAATGGGAATACCCTTATATGATGCTTACTGTATGCCAGTCACTGTTCTAAGCAGTTTACTATATTAACTAATTTAATTCCACAACAACCCCATGACGTAATACTACTATTATCTCAATCTTATAGAGAGAAAATGAGGCACAATGTCACAAGGCTGGGGGAGCTAGAATTCAAACAGCAACCGCCTGGCTCCAGGTCCCACTTAACCCTTGCACTATATTGACAATAATTATATGAACTTACAGAGTTGTTGTGAGGGTTAAATGAGATAATACATACACAGCACTTCACTTATCACAGTGTTTCTCAAACTTTGCTTTGCATCAGAATCACTTAGAGGGCTTGTTAAATCGCAGATGGGTGGGTTCCATTCTTAAGAATTTTTGATTCAGCAGTCTGGGGCAGAGCAGAATACTGAATTTCTAACAAGTTTCTAGGTGATGGTGATGCTTATTTGAAGTGAGTGGGTAGCCATGGAACAATTTAAGGGGGGAAGCAATATAATCTGATTTAAGAGCACATTTACTGTTAAGTGGAGAGTGGATTACAAGGAGACAGAGGAAGTCAGAAGACCAGTTAGATTTTTTGAACTCTCCATATTCCATCTACTTCCTAAATGGTGGGATGATGTCCCCAAAATGTTAACAGTTACCCATGGATCCAGAGATCCTAAGGAAACATATATTACTTAAAATTATAAAGGTAACCATTAGATGAACTAAAAATAATGATAGAAATATATAGGACCAATGGAAGAGGGAAGTAGAGTGCAAGTGAGGTAAATCCATATTGATCATAATAGGAAGTCAGTAGACAATGTTTAAAATTAAGAAGTAGTGGTATAAGCCTATTGTGGGGTTATGAGTATAAACACCAGAAAAAAAAATAGCTAAAAGTGGTTGCCTCTGGGGAATGGGACTAGAGGTGCGAAAGGATAGGGAAGGGGTAACTATCTTCATTGTAAATTCTGTAACCATGGGTTGGAATTACTTGGATTAAAAACCAAAATCAAGCTGAAACATAAGTTTTTCGTGGCTCTTCACTGCCTGTAGAATAAAATCCAAACACCTTAGAACCATCTTCTATAACCTTGTTACTCAAAGTGTAGTCCTGATACCGGCAGCATGGCCATCACCTGGGAGCTTGTTAGAAACGCAGAATCTCAGTCTTCACCCCAGATTTACAGAATTGTAATCTGCATTTTAACAAGATTCCTGGGTAATTCATATGAACAGTCAAGCTTTAAAAATGTCAGTTTACAAGCAAGCATGATCTGGCCCCGTCACCCTCTTCAGCTTCAATACTGGTTGCTCCTCATTGGCCAAACTTTGCTTTCCACTCCCTTAGTCTAAATGCAGTGGCTACACTGGGGGTGTATGAGTGTGTGTGTCAGTGGCTAGCAAAATTCTAACCACTATTTTAGGCCCAGCTCCTCTACTCTAGGAAGCCTTCCAAAACCCTCTGCAGCTCTCTGTTACCATTGTGCCTGAAACTCTCACATCCCTGACTGAGCATGCTTACTTAGCCTTCCTTCAGCAAACATTTATTGGACGCCTGCTGTGTGCCTGGCTAGCTAGATTCAGTGCCAAAGTGGGGAGAAGGCTCTGTGAGCTCTCCGAGGGTTCCTTCAGGTGCAAATCCAGGATCGCCCAGCCCTACGCATTCCAGATGCGCAGCACTCGAATATACGTGTACACACACACACACACACACACACACACACACACACACACACACACACACACACACACACACACACACACACACACACACACACACATCGCTTTGCGCGGCTTTTCTGAGTGTTACGGCGCCCTCCTTCCGCCCCCGCGCGGCGCGGGCGGGGACCCACCGGTTCCGCTCGGCACTAGCAGCGGAGACAGGAGGACCCCCGGGAGCGGGATTCCAGCGTCCGGTCGCCCAGCCCGGTTCAGGCTTAGGCCCGCATGGAGGGGACTGCGGAGTCTCAGACGCCTGACCTGCGAGACGTGGAGGGCAAGGTGGGCAGGAAGACCCCTGAAGGGCTGCTCCGCGGGCTGCGAGGCGAGTGGGAGCCGGGAACCTCTGGTGCCCTACTGCTCCCCGGGGCGCCTAGCAGGGGCCACGGCCTGGGGGACAAGATCCTGGCGCTGAAGATGGAGCTGGTGAGTGTACAACTCACGCCCCAGAGTTGGGCTGGAGAGGAGGGAGTTAAAACGCCCCACCTAATTCCTCAGGGTCTCTCCCATATCGATACTTATACCCTAGGGCCCATTAATTGCCCCCGCCCCCCCGGAGAGTGGGGTGTTGATGGGTCCTGAGAACTCGGGGTGGGAGACACAGGTTCTTGGAAGTTTTTCCTGCCAAATAATTGGAAGGGGAGAGAGAACCTAGCACAGCACAAATCTCCCCCACTGCTGCCTCACCCACCACAGGGCCACCTATCCCTCCAGCCACCATTATAGAGCAATCAGTGTTTTCTCCTCCTGCAAACTGGGCCCAGGGTTTGTTCTTCTGAGGACCCAGTGTTCATGACAGGATTCAGCATGGAAGAGATTCGGATTAAAACTGCCTGGACTAGATCTAAAAACATCCTCCCTTTTCCCCAAAGTCTCCCTACTCCCACTTAAAATAATTTGAAAGTTCCCAGAACCTTAGAAGACATAGAGTAACAGCACTATCAGTGCTGGTTCCTTCACCTCGGACTCAGTCTCCTCCCTGCCAACCCCCCAGGTACACTGGATATTTGGATCTCATCTGTACCTCCTTGGGGAGAAGAGGCAGAAACAGGCACCCTCTTCCTTCCCTGCTGCTGCTGGTCTAGATTCTGAGCCAAAAGGGCAGTTGGGCCCCTCCAGGCTCCCCAGGGCCCTGATTCCGGTGAAGGGGGTGATTTACACCTGCCACCACTTTGCAGCCAGTTCTGGGGAGCTGAGGAATTGCCAGCTGCTCTCTGGCCCAGAACCAGGTGGCCACAGTGAGGGCGTGAGTTAATAAGTCTTCCTGGAGCCCCATCGTGTGCCCATCTCTGTGCCAGGCTGAGCTGTGAGGGAGCAGGGGAGGAACTCCCAGATAGCCGGAGAAGCTAGGAGGAGAGGCTTGTGGGCAGAGCAATCAGGGAAGGCTCCCTGAGGGAAGGATTTGAATGCCATCTGTGCACTTGGCCTCGAAGGTTAGAGGTGAGCCAAACTCTGCAGAATAAGGCTATGACTGTGCCCACCTAAGGGAGGGGCCTGGCTTTGTCTCATTGTACACTCTTTAGCTCAAGGCCTACAATGAACCTACCTGGAGTGCCCTGCTTTGGAAACTTTCATCAAGTGCACGTAATAGGCATCATGCTGAGCACTTTATAAGATCTCTTAATCCTCATGGCAATCCTATTAGGTAAGTGATATTTTATGAAGAAACTGAGGCATAGAGCATACAAAAAGTAAAAAAGCAGAGCCAGGCTTTGAACCCAGGTGATCTGTCTACACTTTACATCTACCATTGAGACCTGCTTTGTGCCAGACACTTTAAACACATTTATGCTATTGAAATGAGAAAAGCAGTCATCATTTTCTTCATCTCACAGACGAAACATGCTTGCCGGTGTTGAGGGGTTTGTGTGAGCTCCCTCAGGGAGCCAGTGGAGGAGCCATGCCTAATCTCTCTGGATCTCTTTTCTGCCTTTGGTGGAGATTACCTATTTGTAAACTTTAAGGGTGTACATTTAACTTCTGATTAGGTCGTTCTGCATTCTTACCCAGGCTGGCCTGGGGCCCTAGGCTGCCCATGAAGGGCATGAGGGAGGGAGCCTCGGGGCCAGAACAGGGAAAGTCTCCCTATGTGCTGCAAGGATTCCTACCCCATTCTCTTCTCCCTCCTGGGACCAGGATGTCATTGATCTCTTTATGTACTCTGCCCTGCCCACTGGGTTGCACCCAGGAAGGACAAGAGCAGGGTGGGGGGATTCCCCTGGAGCCACTGAGCTGGTCCACACCCTGTAAGTATTGTCCTTCAACTGTCCTTTTCCCAGCTCTCCTGCCAGGAGGAAGCAGGCCTGCCTTTAAGGCCAGGGGCGTCCCTGCCTCGAGTCCTCTTCCCTTCTGCTTCTCTCTCCTACTGAAAGTTTGGTGAACCAGCCAGACTCTGGAATATGTGGGAAGGGGAAACAATAGCAACCTCCCCTACTTAATGCTCCCACACAAAGAACTGTTGCTACAACAACCCACCCCCATGAAACAGTTTGAGAAAAAGCTTTTAGGTAAGGAGAGTGGGAGGCATGGGTTCAAGTCCCAGCTCTGCTCCTGAATCATTTTGTGATCTTGAGTAGTGCCCTCTCTCTTGGCCTCAGTTTTTCTGCCCCTTGAGGGGTGGGGGCTGGGGGATTTGTGGGACCAGATGATCTCTGAGAGCCTTTCTAGTAACAATAGTCTGAGAATCTAAATCCATGATCAGGGAGTTAGGACTGGGGTCTCGGGGGTTTTTTTTACCCCAGGCATGATTTAGATTGAGTGATGAGGGAGTCATCCTTGTGACCTCCAGGCTGGGCAGAGAGTCTGATGTGTATGCGTGAAGGGGAGGAGTGGGGAACCTGCATCCCGCTGGGAAGAGAATTGGGTTGGAGTGGCCTCTGAGGCTACATGTCTTCTGAGATGTTTGTCCCCTCTCTATTTCCAAAGAGATGGTGTGAAATGAGTGTTTCTTTTTTCTGGCGGAAAGCTTTGCACTCTTCTGCTCTGGGGAGTAATGTCACAGTCAAGGAATCCCACTGTTAAAGGACTACAGAATCTGGTCCTCAGATTCATTTCCCACCAACATGAACCCTGGGACCAGCAGAGGGGCCAACGAAAGTAAAGGCAAGAGAATCACAGAACTGGATCTGACCTACCCAATCCTAGACTACCATAAATGAGCTGGGCATGACCGGATTTCAGGGAGTGTGGGTTAGGGAAGGAGGGAGACAGACTAATAACTCAACTACAGGATGATAAGTACTATTGGAACCCAGGGAGAGCTTCCTGGAAGAGTCTTCATTATAGAGTGACAAGGTCAGATTTGTGCTCTGGAAAAGCTTTGAATTGGAGGAGACACATGCTGTTTTCTCTGGTTGGAATGCCTTTCTCCACTGCTTTGTCTGGCTAAGTCCTACTTAACCTTCAAGTTTCAGCTCATGTCCCTTATTCTAGGAAGCATTTCCTTACTCCTGGGTTGGGTTATGGCCCTCCAGGTACCCACAGCCCTCTGTGCAGTAATTGTTTCACCTAGTATTTACTACACTGAATTTTTTTTTTTTGATTTTGACATATTTTATTCAAATACCAGTCTGATCACACATGGCCCAAGAACATTCAAACAATAAACCCAAAAGAAACAGATGTTAATGAGTGGTCTTCAAACATTATAGCCAATGATGCCACGCTTGCCGATGATCTCGCCAACATAAAACCACATCCACACCTCAGTGGCCACCAAACCATTCAGCAGAGCTTCCTTAACTGTGAGCTGTTTGAAGCTACCAGTTTGAGCACTACTGACTATTTTTTTCAAGCTCTGAATAGCTGTAGGGATCTCAGCAGGGGTTGGAGGAACCAGCTCAACCTTGGCATAATGCCAAAATGTGGCCAATCGAGGCTTCAAGTAAGTCACAGCAGCGTTTACCAGCGCCGGGGCCTTCTCTGCGAGGTTACGGACAAACTGGGCCATGGTTCTAGGATGGAAAGTCCGTGCACTCGAACGGCCAGCTGAATGTCACCCCCTGGAAGGACCACTAAACTGAATTTTAAGTGCTTGTGTCATTATCTTATTCATTAGACTGTGAACTCTCTGAGGACAAGAAATGGTGTCTTTTCTTCATTTATGTAACACAATGCCATTCCTATAAGAAACACTGAATAAATATTATTCCATGACTGAATGGATTAATTCCACCTTGAGGAAGGGCAGGGACGTCTTCCTAGAGGAGGTGGGATTTGAGTTGGGCCTTGAAGAATGAATAAAGTCCGCGGGAATTCCAGCGCAAGATGGCAGATTGAACACATTCCATTCCCTCTTGGAACTGAATGAAAAAGCCAGGAGGATTATTGTAAAAGCCATAAAGCCATTATGACCACAAGAACAGAAGAGATGATGAGAACAAAATTTTGGAAGCTGAAAAGCAACCCATTTTGCAAAACAGAAACCCTCAACGGTCTCAGGAGTTGGAAGCACCAGGTATTTTTGGAACTGGGAGTGCAAGTAGAGCTGAAAACAAAAGGGTTGGTGAATGTCTGTTGAAGAATCATACTGTAAGATCCCTTGCCTAACTGGGCAACCAGGTGCCAGCCATTCCTTTATTCTATCAGAAGACAGGAAATGTAAGTTTTGGAAAGAATAGAACATAAGGAAGGAAGGAAAGGGAAGAGGAAGGAAGGAAGAAAAAAAGGAGGGAGGGAGGGAAGGAAGTGGGGGAAGAGGGTGGGAGGGAGGGAGAAAGGGGAAGTATAGCAGGAGATGCATTTTTAGGGTGAGAAGTTTTGTTTAATGCAGTTTGGTCATGGACTAAGACTGTTGGTTTCACTGTTAATATATTTGTGCCCAGTATAAAATAATTGAAGATAATCTCTTTTATTATGTCAGTAATAGCCTGTACGGTCTGTGGTATTTCAGTTATTTATGTCCACATCTCCTTATTGAAATAGCAATCTTCTGTTAAGCAGGGACAGTTTCTCCATTATCTTCGTAATTATTAGAAAATCCAGGTGCCCAATAATTATTTGTTTAATTGAATTAGAGTTGTGATATTCTTCTAAAAACACAAATAATTTCAGGTACTAAATTTTTGTTCTGTGCTTAGTAAGTAAGTTAACCATAATAATATGTAAAGCCAAATAGCTACCATTTATTGATTAACAAATACTTGTCAGGTAATATGCTATGCATGTTGATATGTTCCTCCCACTTCTTAAAACAAACTTTTAAGTTAGATAGTATCTTAATTTTACAATGAATAAATGAAGATTTGAAGGGGGAAAAAATCCAATTTCATATGGATCATTAATGGCAAAACTGGAATTTGAATTCAGGTCTGTTTAATTCCAGGGTTTTATTTTTCTCAGTATACAAATACTTGGTTTTATTCTGGTTTATCATTGTAGATGTGAGGGAGCAATTATTTCCTGAGTAATTCAATAAACATTTATCAAGTAACATATATTTTAAAAATAATAGAACCAAAGGTTGAGGGCAAGAGGAGTTACATGAAAATGTTCTAAATGTTATGAAATACCCAACCTTTCCCCCTACTTGGCCCCCAGAATATTGACAGGTTTGCTTACATTAGACTCTCTAGATGGGTATAGCATGGTGATTATGATGAACGCAAGAGAAAAAAAGACACAAAATAGACTGACTTTAGGCCTTACCCAGACAAATAGCCCACAGCCAGATAACTGTTAGTGAGGATCAAAGTTGGCAAGCCTCACACATGCCCTCAGTTTCCAATCAGCTTTTTAGAGACCACTCTGAAGTGTGAGCAGCAGCTAAAGATCTAAGACATCTAATGAGACCCTCTATCTATGTAGACCTAAACAAAGAGAAAAAAGCAACTTGAATAAAATGGAGATGATACAGGAGGATGAGAACTAATAAAAATCATTAGCTTGGGGCCGGCCGAGTGGCTCAGTTGGTTAAGAGCTCGCTCAAGATTTTGAGCTCTGAGCAACAGCGGTTTGATTCCTAGCCTGAGCTGAGCAGCTGCTGAGCTGCCAACAGGTGGCAGGATGGCTCAGCTTAAAAACAAAAAAAAAATCATTAGCTTAATTATATCCTTAAAGAGATAAGAGGTAATAGTACATGAACTAAAACAGGAAGCTATAAAAAGGAAAACATACAAAGAACTACAAACAATTCTGGGAAATAAAAACATGATAGGAAAAAATGAAAAACTTGGGCCGGCCGAGTGGCGCATTGGTTAAGAGCTGACTTGGGACGCCAGAGGGCCCTGGTTCGGATCCCACATATGAGGGCCAGTGACACTGCCCTCTACAGCTAAGATGCTGAACCTGGAGCTGGGCTGCTGTGAGTCGCCGGCGACGGCGTAGGCTGCAGCCATTGCTGCAGTGGGTTGCCATGGGCTACCGTGTGTAGCCAGCGT